CAAACAGGTATAACAGAATAGCTTTAGTGTAGTTGTTGTTTTAAACTTGAGTATGAACTTATACAAAATGCAGCAAGATATTTAAAAAAAACAGTTTTGTTGATTAAAAAACACTATATCAGATTCATATCGGTATCGGCAGATATCCAAATTTATGATATCGGTATCGGACATAAGAAAGTGGTATTGTGCCATCTCTATTACAGAGCTCTGACTTCAGGCTTTATTGGAACTGATACCAATAGCTTGATTTGATAAGGCTTGGGACCACTCAGATCCGCACTACACCAGTGTCTGCTTCAGGGGCCTGTGAAGGGGAGCACTCCACCACCTTGAAAGAGCTCTGTGTGCATTAAGATTATGCAGTCTCTTGATCGGTCAGGCTAAGAGGTGGATATTTCCCTTTGGGAGACCAAAAGATTTTGAAGTTACTTTTGATGATTGCAAGCAGAAGTTTGATCCTCACAGTCCATGCAGTGTGTTAACTGAAAGCAGGGAAGTGATATAAACTCGAGTATCCTTTGATGAAATGGGAAAAAGTTGAGTCAGAACACGTATTTAAGAATTTTTTGAATCAGTGGGCCAAAGGGTGATTCTGGATTAATAAATGTAATGTGCATTTGACAGACTAACAGAGATGCTCCAATCATTGGCCAGCTAGTGGCCTCAGACTGGCCTCAGATACAAATGATTCTGTGAAGATTTCATGCAATTACGTAGCGACTGGAGATGCCTTGTGGTCAGAACTTGGTCGGCACTACTTGAAATAAAAAAGCTGGAGACAGCAGCATAGTAACATTACCACCACTGGCATTTTGAAGGTATAATTGCAAAGAAATGCAGGCATGTTGTAGTATGGGCTCAGACTACACAATATTTTTGTCATGATAATCACCAAGTCAGATTAGGGCATTATAGAGACATAAAATCGTCTTTTGCTCCCCAAGCAATCATGCTTGACCCCTTAAAAGATGCCAGTGGGTAGGACTTGGCAATTTATAATGCAGGCTGTCTACTCAATTTTACAGTTCTTGAACTGATGTCCTGCGTGACTTGAATTGACCAAAATTGGGCTGGTATTGTGCAGTCTGAACCTGGCAACAGATAAACAGGATATACTGCAATTTATATCCTTTTTCTCCAGCAAAGTGGAGCCCTTTATATTGAGATTTGTTTGGAGAGAGAGGAAAAGAAGATCTTATACCCTGATGCAGTTTTGGAGGGGAAAAAAAGTGTCAATGACTTCTTAGTTCTTAGATAACTGCAATCAGCAGGTCATACATAACTGATCCACCTCGAACTGCAATTACATACGTTCTTGAAAAAGTGAGCCTGTGGCAATCATTTAGAAATGCTGGTTAAAATCTGTGTCTGTATAGCAGAGTGAGTGCATGAAAGTGAGAAGCGGTCCAGCTGGTTGTTTAAAAGGTCCATGTGAAAAGGGGCCTAATCGAATAGTCCATCTATCAATTAGAGAAAATGAAATCAACCTGTCAGCAGACACAATGATGGTGAGAAACTCCCAAAACAGACCAGAGACAAAGAGACTTTGTTGCATAGCCACACACACCAGCAATACACCCATCGGAATATAAAACATGAGAGAACTGAAATCAAAATGGTGGAGATGAGAGAAGCAAAGGGAGCAGCAGAGGGGAAAGTTGAATTAACACTAGCAAGCACACACACACGCCTGCACTTCAGGGGGAGCAGGACATTTGAATCGTCTGCTGCTCTGAGGACTCCCGTCAAAGAGTAGAGACCCAGGCAGCCATATGTCCTCTCTTTTGCCTCTGCAGTCCACCACCCTGCCCCAGGACATCCCTGTGCATGTAAGCACACACTTAGACACAACCTCTCTCTCTATTACACACACACACAAAAGCTAATTGGGCAAAACAATCTGGATCATGCTCACTCCTGCTTTACCAAAGCATGCTCTTGCGTGTCTTTTTATGCAAAAATCCACATTTGTGCAGCGGTAACATGAGAGGATGTGCAGCAGCAATGCAGCGTTAAAATACCAACTGTCAGTCACCCGTTCCTCTATTTCATGTCTGCACCACAGCCAAAGACATACACGAGCTGCAAACGAAATATCCAAGACTTTGTCAGCAGAGTATTACTCGGTCTTTTGGACACTCCATTTGCATGGAGTCAGGTGCCAGAACATGCGATCAGAGCAAACTGTCGAATACCTCAGCTCGCTTTTGTGTGTGTTCAGTGTGTTGAGATTTATTTATTTTTTGTCCTGCAATTGTCAAACCACTCACTTGCAGTTCAGATTGCATGCACAGTCCTACTCAGCACGCTTCTTCCACACATAGAGGTTATGTGTGAACAATGCACCTATCCTGACACCTGAGTTGAGTCACAAACAAACAGCAAACATCCCACTCCTTTGACTAAGGGGCAATCCCTTCCTACTATTAAAAGAACAAAGTAAAAGGGTGAGAGTAAAACCATAATAGGATTTACCCGGTGCTCGATAATTAGGGCTTCTGTTTGGGGAATACCACAGAGAGACACTCCCCCCACATTCACACGACTCTTAGAAGAAGCACGTAACAGCGGGTCTTTGACCGGTTAGGGTGCAGAAAATCCAACAGTGGCTGCTCCGTTACAGCATCCCGGGCAGGCATGCTGTTTAAATCATCCCGGCATGGGAGCAAGGAGAGGAAAGCCTCCCCGTCTGCCTCTTCATTCACCACTCCCCCTCCCTCCTTACCTTGGATCTGACGGTTGCCACGGCACCAGATTCCTAAGCGGTGGCCATGTCAGAAGAGATGATGAGGGGAAGTGGTGTGAAAATGTCCTTCCACCCAGGTGTCTGCCCCTTCTCTCTGTCTCCTCCTTCTCTTCCTCTTCTTCCTCTTCTCTCTCCTCTCCTCTCGCCTGCTCCACAGCAAAGCGTGAGAGAGCTGATGAAGGGGACGGCAGCAACAGCAGCAGAAGAAGCAGCAGCAGCGTCAGTCTCTAAATCTTACACACAAATACACATGCACACACACGCACACACGCGCTCACGCTCCTTTTAATTAGCTTGTTCCAACAACCAGCGATGACTAATAAATCAAGTGGCTGAAATCACCTCCTGTGCTCCGCTGATCCGATGAGGAGACATAGAGGAGAGGGAGAGAGTGCAAGCACATGTGTTCGAGGAAGTAAGAGTGTGTGTGAGAGAGAGACAGTGTTCTAGAGCATGAGAGAGGGGGAGAGAGAGAGAGAGAAGGAGAGAGAGGAAGGGAGGGCATGCATTATGTGTGTCAGCTCATTTGTATTCAAAGCTTGTTTTGCCTCTTCATCCCTCCCCTTCTCTCTCTCCCTCCATCCATCCATCTCTTCCTTTATCTAACTCCCTCCATCCATTCTTGGTTTCTCTTCTTTTCCCCTTTTACTGTTCTGTCCTTTGTGCATTCACGTAAAGGACACAAACTTGACCGGAACATCAGAGGAAAGAGGGGTCAAGGAATTCCACAGATTTAAAAAATGGGATGGAAGTGGAAAGGAAGGTTTCTCGTGTGTGTGTGTGTGGGGGGGGGGGTGTGTTTGTTTGTTTATAAGGTTTCACAGCTGCATGCCTCCAGCGAAGCACACTCTGGATGTGGGTTAATGATACATGGCTGGCTATTGATCTAGGTCAGAGCTGGTAGCAGAGAGCCAGGCTGGACACTAGTGCACGTTTACCCCAGAGGTGAATGAAAGTTTGCTGTTACGCAGAGAAGAAAATACACAAATTCAATACAAGCTTGGCAAAATGTTTTTAGCAATCAGTATTTCATGTAGATCTCAAAGAAACAGACAATAAAACAGCAAAACAAGCCTCTGACGGCACCTTCTTCTTAAAGCCCACCAGTTCTGAAGCAATGCTTCTCTGTAAAGGGTCAGGACAATGCCATACTGACAGCTGAAGACAGGAGCAGCAGTGGCAATGTAATGAAGAGAGTTGCAGAGAACTCTCATCGCTTTTGGATGAGACAGAAATATCTTAAAATTTCCCAAAATAAAAAACATATTGTTGTTATTAGCAGCAAATGAATGCCAAGAAAAAAAATTTCCAGAGCCATTTCTTTGGCATTCGCTACTCAAATGCAATAAATATAATAAGCGTCATAGGCACCATAACAAAAAAATACAAGCTTTCTTGTTGGTAGTGTCCAAAACAGCTGTTTCTGTATAATATGAATGAGAGAGCTGGTGGGTCTTCAAGAATAAAAATATGTTTTGGGGAATAAGCATAGCTGGTCCCCTTTAAGTCACGGGATGAGCATTAAAAATCTCAGATCTGATTACCTTTTGCTAGAAGCTTCAAAAGTCAGGTTTTTTCACTCTTTTGTCCACTTACTGTAGACATTAATAGGATGTTGGTGTCTACAGCTCAGAGACCCAGAGGTGCAAAAGGAATCAAGGTTGCTCTTGGTTGAGGTCTTAGGTCTTTTTGTGTGGTAGGCTCCTAGTGGCTTCCGCTATGCCCAGTCTTCATTAATATAGCATTACCTTTGGGGCATTAACAGCCCGCAGGCTTATTTTATGCACACAGCTCCTGACCTATTTTAGGATTGACAATCCATCAAAAAAAGAGGCAAAGAACACCAGTAACCCAATGGTGATTTAGTTTCTCGTGCTGGTGAAACCGTTAGCATTGTAAGTAAGTAAGAATAAAGGCCACAAATGGGCATGGACTAATCAAATAACCTTCCTGTTGTGCAATTATTTACCTACAAGTAGATGTGGAAATCAAATCTAACAGTTTGTGAAATTCATCACTATTCTCTGTCATTCTTTTCAAATTACCTCATCACTGGGTTTCACTTCCCCTCCTCCAGTGCTGAGTGCACTGTCCTGACTTGTAGGGGTCTCAGTGGGATTGTCATAGTGGTAGATGAGATATGGGCTGAGCATCTTAGAAATGAGAAATCTGCCTGTTATGGGGCCATTATGGTTTACAGCAGGTTGGATGCCTGTCCCATGGGTCTACTCTCCTCACGCCCATATACCCTGCTCCCTTTCTCTTTGTCCAACCCCCTCTCTGACTGCTTTCACCCACGCCAAGCTTACAGTGGAAACCCCACAAACTATGTCCATGACTGATGGAGAGAGAAGTCTGAGAAGGTGAAGGATAGAGAAGGGCAAAAGAAAGAAGAGGAAAGGCCAAAAACGAAAGAGGTCCAGACCTCAAGGAGAATTGACTGAGCTGTTTCTGTGTATGAATTGGGTGTTTCCATGGAAACCATTGCAATCAGAACCATACACAGGAAAACGCACATTTAGTCATTGGAATCAGGTTTGATGTAGGATACTGTATGCACATTTACTTATTCGTGCGCACTGCAGTTAGAATCCAGTAAAGCGTCTGGAGTTTATATGTGTGCTACTTGCCTGCATTCATATGTCTTACTGCTGCAACCAATTAGCTATGTAAGCATTATGGTAATTTAAAGTATCAAAGTCTGGTGGTAAAAGTTAAGTCAATGCAGAAATAAAAAACAAACAAACAAACAAACAAAACTGCAGTTCCACAAATAGCCACTTGAGGCTAACTCAAAAATAGAATTAATTCCCACTAACTCCCATGTTAAAATGTCCATTGTTACAGCAGAATTAAAAATGTTTACAGCTTGATTTTGGTCCCTTGCCAGAATTTTATTGCTGTGTTGTGGTTAATATTATATCATTATTTTGTCTTAAAGTTATACATGACTGAAGATGGCTGTGACTGCTTTGTTAGGCTGCTAGCTGTAGGCCTTACCTCAGCTAATCTGAATGACTGAACTAGACCTCTTGATTGTGGTTGTTGTGTTGGGTTGAATTTTAGATTCTTTTCAACACAATTATCAAAGAAGTGTTACAGCCTGGTTTGAAGTTTGTGTTTCAGTTTTGGTAACTGGATTTCTGGTATTTCATTAGCAGTTACTTAGCTGTAATTAGCGGATTAGCAGCAGGGTTGCTAGCTTTAGCTGATAACTAACCTTTCTATCTTCTTGTCGAATTGCAACACTTCAGAATTCAATAAACCAAGATGGAAACAATAAAATGCCAAACACAAGGCTTAAAATTTATTTTCAGTAGGTGAAGTGACAGTAGCTACATCCATCTTCTTAGTAATGGATAAACACCATCTGTTTTTGCATCTATCCAACCAGTCAATCTATTACTTGTAGCTAGCTGTTGCAGTCATTTATCCTTTATCATTTTTTTTATACAAATGACTCACTTACTAAATACCATGGTGGCTCTGCGGTGTTTCAATAAGACATTATATAATAATGCTGGAGACTTTGATGAGTTTGTGTAGTAAAAATGAAGCTACTGTAATTTCACTAACAAGGTAATAAGAAGTTGGGCTTAATACGTTTAAAACAACAGAGGTGTGAAACTTCCATTCTGACAAGATTGTTCTTAATGTTTTGTTTTATACTTATAAAGATAATATAATATATTTATATTTTCTCTGCACATATGACAGTGGTATGAATGTCTACAAGAAAATAATTCAAAGGATACAAATGGCTTTTTTCATACAAGACAACCATGCTTAAAGTATCCAGCCACATACTGGGGAAAAGTGGGGCACATCAGTAGGCTACATAACATTAATAACTCATTTTACACCCATCATTTAAACATAAATGAATAGAGACAAACATTATCCCTCTATTACCACAAACATCATCCTGCACAGCTCCCCAAACATCAACTCACCAGCACAGAAGCCCCCAAATACCTCCTTGTATCATTATGCCAAGAGCTCCAGCTGTGGTCGAGAAGGGAAATTCATTAATCAGCCTTAGAACAAAGGACCACATTCCTCCGCTATCCCCCCTTTGTCTGTTCATCCCACTTGATCCTGTGCTAATTCTTCCAGTTAAACTGAGAAAAAAGCTCTAATTTTGTTTCTCAGTCTTGAACCAGACCAGTTAGATCACATCTGTATATTAATTATTTTGAATATGGCAACTTTGACAGTCTGTAAGTCTAAACACATGAATAAATAGTAGATATCATTCTGGTGCATAGTTTGATTTGTGCTTGGTAATGTACATTTATCTTAAACACAGCTGGACAAACATAAGGAAGTACAGTATTTAGCAACTGTTCCAATATTTGTAAAAAAGTATCCAGAAGAATTAAACTGAATTAACCACTCATCATGCAGTAGATTTGTGGCATGTTTAGCAGCTCAAGTGTTGACACACAGATACTGAGTGGCTTCTTCAAGAGTCTTCTTTAAATTATATGAAGGATTTCCCTTAAAATAATCATTTCATACCATAGCCTCTTATCAGAGGTTTTACCATGGAACTGTATGGCTTCTTGTTAGTCATAAGAAATGTCCCATTGCCTGAAAAAAAAAACGCCATTAGTGACAATCCATCAACACTACAGCATGCTTCTGCAAATATCAAGGTGGGGCCTACAGCAGGTGTTCCTTCCTTTTCACAGTGATTGGAAAATAAATTCCATCTCATGCGATTTGATTTCTTGAGCTGCGGTCGGCTATTATCACCCCCACCTCTTTACACAGGATCAACTGAAGTGGTCCCTTGTTCATGTCGGAATGCTATAAACCCCTCGGGCACAGAGGGAAATGATGCATGTTATTGTGAACACACCAGATGGGGTCCCGAAGCAGAGAACGTGAAGGTAGAGCAGCAATCTTTCTATAATGAGATGTAAATGGAGGCAACTCCAAGCTAGGGATAGTGACAGGCTCATTTTAATGGATAACAGTGCAAAGTAATGTAAGTGACAGGTAGCAAACCTGCATGAAAATAAATCACATTTGTTAAATTATGCTCAGCACACAGCTCCTCTCAGAATCTAACCTATTATTAGTCCCACCAGTCAACATTAAAGTCTCTAAAATCAATATTTTTAACAATAACATTGTTTCAGAAGACTGTATGTGATGTGAAATGAGTCACGAACCCCATAATTATCATGTACCTTTGTTGTTTTCCTTAGTGCCACAGATTTTTATAAGCACATCTATAACACTGCTTGAAAAATACTTGGAAAATCTATTGTAAATCCCTTTCCTATACCAAAAACTACAAAAGGCTAAGATCCTAATTTACATTAATTTACTTAATGTAATCTTAATCTTAAATACTGTAGATTCAGCATCATTTACACATTATTCTTCTTTTATTCTGTGTACATTTTAGATTGAAATCTGACCGTTTT